TAAGTATTGGTACTATAATTGAATAAACATCATTAGAATCAAAACCAATAATGTATAAATAGGATAAAAACTTAAATCAAAATAAAAAGCATTAAGACTGATGCCTTAGACACAATACATAAAAGTATTTGTGGTTCTGTCCTCTCAGAGTTCTTGCTTATTCCTGCCTGTCAGCAGTGCTGTGTCCATGGGCTTTTCTCAGACTGCTGTCCTTCTCACCTGTGTTATCCCAGATACATTATATTTGCATCTGCTTTTTTAGAATGCTTGTAAAATATAGTAAATGGTATTGCTTGGTTTTCTTCATTTATTTTGCAAATTTAATAATAATAAAATTTATGCTTCCTCTTTGCTTCATGTACTTTCAGTGGTAGGGCTTCTACTTGCTGCATAGATTTCCATTACAGTGACACAACACAAAAAGCCACTGTTTGATTTCTCTTTGTTCCTACCAAACTCCTAGAGATTACCAAGCCACTTTGATGGGGTACACAAAACACCAAAATTTCATAAAGTACCCCTACCTATCCCCATTACTAAGGTAAACCTCTTTTGATACAACGCTAGAAGAAGGTCCCAAACAATAGCAATGTCTCCTTTCAGTAAAAGCTCTGCTATCCATTGTATTTCACTTTTCTTTTACCTGCATTATTTCTTTTAACTCTTGTTTTTCTGCCATTTATTCTTTTTGTTTCCTTTTGGTCTTCTCATCCATACACATAACTGCTTTTTTCGTTTAAACTACCTCCTAAAAATTACTGGTCTTAAATGTTTCCAGATTCTTGTCCTTCTTAAATAAATTACCCTGGCCCACTTCATTCTTCACAAATTCTACTGTGAGAAGAAAGAGCATCTCTGAACCAGCTTTTAACAGCAGTTCTAGATCAGCAAACAGACATAATCCTCATAAAACCTAAACATATATAACCAAACTCTTACATGATTGAGGAAGTATTTTTCAGCTAGCAGTAGTTAATGGGTACTTGATTTCTTTTACAATTCCCTCTATGCCAGTTTTTCAAAAAGGTCAGGCAGGATATAAAACATATGTTATGGTCAAATACAAATTAGTATAATTACATTTAGTAAATTATGTCAATATGAAAGCCACTCTGCAATATGTACCAGTAAGTAATATATTACATATAAAACCAAAAGATTTGGCAAATTCACCTGTGTTGTAATGGGTTTACACCAAAGGTGGATCACATCACTTACTATTTGAAAAGCTGTTTACTGCACAAATATATGGCCATGACATGTTGATCCCACTTTTGCAGAATTTCAGTCAAGAGCAGGGGAAATTCTTTATGACTTAACTTCATGGCACCTATCAGTGCACCCGCTAACCTAATACAAGAGGCAGTAGGGAAGTAGCAGAAAACAGCAACTTTTGAGACAACTATTTCTAACTAAAGTTAGAAAATCAAGCTATTCAAGATCAGCTTTAAGCATGAAAGAAGGAAGGAGAGAATGAGGGAAGCAAGAGGAAGGAAAGAAGGAAGGAAGGAAGAAAGGGAGGAAGGAAGGGAGGGAGGGAGTGAAACATTCACTTCTGTGCCAATCTCAAGTGTATGAGAAAAATATTTCATATATCACTTAAAAAATGATCATTCTGTAAAACTCTTCCCCACACCCTGAAACTTCAAATTGAATAGTCCCATCTCTTGGGTTTTGCTCTTCACAGCTCTCTCTCTCAGTCTAATCAAAATGCCACTTATGAAAAAATAGCACCTGTCTGAATTATTTCCTTGGCTTTCTGTCTTTGGCTGTATCAGATTTGAGTTTCTTTGTTCTTATCTCCCTCACAGTTCTCACCTTTCCTTGTATTTTTGTCCTTTTGTAGTGTTATACAAATATTTACACAATGAGTGAAAAAGACATTTTGGTAACAGCTACAATGGAAATAGCAATTGGTAATGTGTAGAACCACTGATATAATCTATCAGATAATTGCTATTGCTTAAAAGTCATTAGGAAAAAAATGCTAATTATTGAAAAGAAGAGTTGTAAAGGCCTTATCAAACCTCTTTGGCTAGTAGCAGTGGAGATTCATTAATAAGATATAAAATTATGTTAACATATCAAATGCAAACTCCCAGAAAAGAAAGGAGTCCTGCATATGTAAATTGAAAATCTCCAACAGTTTTGTAAAAGTTTAAATAGAGATAGGATTATATGAAATTTAGGAAAAAGGTCAGATATAAAAACATAAAGCTGTGAGATATCAAACACAAGAATGTGCAAAATAAGTATTGACAGTCAATGGATGTGATACTGCAATCTCTAAAAATAAGATTTCCAACATATGGATAATTTATCTTCAGCAACATCTGCAAAATACAGACACACATTGCAAACTGTGTGATTACTGGACATGTGACAAGCAATAAGCTTTAGACTCATTAATGACTTCTTCAAAGAAAAGCATTTTTATTGTACTAAGAGAAAATTAGATGAAGGGGAACAAGATGAATATATAACTGCCATGAAAATCCAGAAAATAAATTTAATTAAAAATGAGGAGAAGCAATTAAAGCAGGCACAAGAGTTCCTCAGGAAGCACAACCATGTGTTTTGCTACTTATCTACTCTACATAAATAATTTAGATAACAAACTAAATAATTATCCTATAATATGTTGTTCAAATGCCATCATTAGCTAGAAAGCAGAAATATGCTGTGTTCTACAGTTAATGGGTAGGTGATGTTTGCAGTTAAGTAAAATATATGCTCACCAGTTGAAAACACCAAAGTGAATCACAAAAGAAAAGAAAGATGAAACAAGAGGGCAAGTGGTGATTTCAGTTTCATCTCAGAGAGATTTTGGAAGACTTCAGAACCTTCTGAATATGACTGCACTGATATTGATTTCTACCTTCTCATCACAACTACAAGTACAGCTAATAGAAATCTTTCTTTTGAGACACAGATTCCACGAATCTGTGCCACTGACTACAGAAATACTTTATAATGTGAGTGACTTTATTAAATGAGTTGGTTCTTTTGGAGCAGTGGCATAGTCAAGCATGCTCTTTTGCCATGTGCATGCTGTAATTGGTTACTGTGGTCTTTGGATCTGAGAAATATAGAGTAAATTAGTTGTTTGGGAAGAAAAAAAAAAAAAAAAGGCTTACGAAGCATGATTTAACAGAAAATTTACATACAGACATTTAGCATTTGTTACCTCTGAGCTGTCTGACTTTCTCACCTCATATCTACCACTAGCTTCTCAAATTTGTCTTCAGCAGCATTGCTGTGGTTACTGGTGCCTCTGTGAGACAAAATCTTCCCCACCTCATCCAATTATTCTTGTAGCTACCTGGCCTAACTGCTGCTTACTACCTCTTCTCACTCTTAATTCCCTACCTCCTTGCTCTCCCATTCCTTGCCTCATTTCTTGTTTGTCTCAAATCCTCTCTCTATGCCTGAAAAATCCCACTTTCCACATTCCCTCTTTCCTTCCTTTAATGATTTGGAGAATACTGAAAAAGCAGGAGAGACAGCCCCACTGCTCAGCCCCATCCCACCTGCAAGGAGGTTTTTCAGGGTCAGCTGGTTCCTGCAGCCCCTGGACACATCATCTTCCATCACATATCAGCACATGTGGGCCGAATCACTCAGATCTGGGAAAAGTTTGAGAGCTTCCAGTGAGGCTGCTGTCTTCAGAAACTATAGCCATTAAAGTCATTAAGTATTGGACCTAATCAAACAATACTGTTTTCAAGTGCAGATAATGGGGCTGAGATGGTTTCCCCCTAAATCTGCAAGACAACCTTGCATGATATCCCATGTTCTGTGGATGTCAGAGGGAAAAGAAGGTGGTCTTAAAACCTCAGAGAAGTGAAGCAACTTTGAGAGTTAGATTTAAGGCTAACAGACCAGCAACAGTGTCTCCATGTGTCAGTACCAATAACTATGCAACTTCTGTAAGTATTTCAATCTGCTGTTTTCAGAGAAAAGGGTAGTAAAATCTCTATTTTCCTGAGAGTGAAAATGAGACAGAGAGGTGATGTGTGCAAGACTGCACGCTATAATTCTTCTCTGGTAAAATCAGTAAAGGAATCCATGTTACATCTATTTAGGATTAGTAATGTTGTAGCCACTAGCTCATGTTATTTCTGGATGAGCTCACTGGGAAGAATCACCTGTACAGTTACATTTCCTGCACATTCTGCAAACCTTAATGAAGGGCATGGGTTACTACAAGAGCTTCTTTCCACCATCATTTCCAAGAACTAGAAATCCAGAACTTGAATTTCAATTATTAAAACATTCGGAGAAATCAAGAAATGTAAAATATAGCCTTGGTAGCTGACACTTTTTCTTTTTTTTTTTTTGTCTCATACTGTACATATCCCTTTCATTCCTGTCATTCCTACTTTATAAACTAGAAAGCATATTCCTCAATTCAGTTAAAGCAACAGTTATAAATGAAAATCAAATAAACAAAGCAACAGGAAAAAAATAATAAATCCAAGAAAAGAAATCTCTCCCTAATGTGTTTGGTTTGTTGATGTTTTTGCCCTGTTGTTTGGCGGATGTGTTCATTAGCCAAAAAGAATACCCTCCAAAACTCTGGCAAACACTATTAGTAAGATCTTCATTCAGTTTACACAGAGGAAATGAGCACATTTTAAAAAGACAATGGGCAGAATGTAAAGGCCAGCAATACAGGAGGCAGTCATGACTGACTTCTCGTGGGAGGGGAAGCCAGAACAAGTGTTATCCAGAAAGGCCAGGACATTGTGGAAGAAATGACTCAGCTCTCTTCTGTTATCTGAGGAAAGGAATTCCATTAGGACACAAAACTGCTGATGCTTGTGCAGATCCTTGTCACCAAGCATGCATCCTGGAGCAAGCGATGTTTTTTCATGGTACCAGTCATGTTATATAGCTCAGGACGGGAAACACCTACCATGCATTTGCTTCTTGGCTTTTGACATTTAGGAAGCATAAGTTTAGATTAATTTTTTAAAAGAGCAAAGTGTCTAAAGCTGTTAAGGTAGAAAACATTTACTCTTCTGTAAAATCATGCTACTCTACCATAGCCACAGAGTACGTTCTCTTACAGATGACTCTGAGAAGTTGCTTTAGATTAAGTACTTTCATGCACTGCCTCTGCTTCACACTTTTTTTTTTTTTAAGTGGTGACTCCTTTGAAATGCAAGATTTTGTATCCCCTGAATGCTCTTCAAATCTTTGTAGCCTTTTAAGCATTCTTCTGAGATACAGTGCAATGCTACCAACATAATAGAAAGAGTCAGTCAAAAGTCTTGTTATACACAGACATGACATGAGTTAAGTACAACAAACATCCCCGTCAATCAAAATTCATGTTAAAATGAGATCTCATGTCAATACTGTTATATCTTACTGACAGCTAAATGCAGACAGAAAATTTTACAAGCCTTAGCACATCTATGAAATGGACTGCTCTGCTATTGCTTTCAATCATCTACACCTGCTAGGACTTTCTGTTCAGGACAGAATAAATACTAAGTTTAGATATTTGGAACAAAAAATGTCAAACATGAAACCACTCCAACTTCAAAGCCTTTCCTCTCAGTCAACTCTGGAGGTTAGGCATAGGAGTCATAGCAGCAGGAAAAAGGAAGGGATTACATTTTTCCAGCACGCATATAACTACCAGCTATAGATAAAATAACATGAAAAAGTAATACTTCTGCTTCAATAAGAAAAATATCATAGAAAATCTTTAACAATTTCAAGTATTTTGAGAAATTATTTTGCTATGCTATCTTCTTAAAATATAAATGTCATTTTTTGTTAAGAACGGCAACTAGAAAACATAATAGAAAGTAAGAGTAGTCCATCCTTATGATTTCTGTTCCCCTTCAAAGCCTTCAGTCTCTCTGGCTTCTTTCTCCTTCTGTAAGATAAAAATTTACATGAAGATCACCTGTCTGAAATATATCTATGTTCCAGTTCATTCAAAGGATGTGGAGTTTGATCTAAGAATTAGCTCATGGAACTCAGAAAAATATGATAATGTCTCATTTGGTCTTAAACACTGAAAGACACTGCCTTCACTTATTCACGCAAAGAGATTTTATATTGTATAGGAGAATTTCTACTACTGTCTAATAATAAATCGTCACTGTGGAATTAGTTTGAGTTGTGCTTGTTCATGTTAACTGCACACAAGCTAGTTTAAAATGAGTTAGAAAACAGTATGAAGTTACAGGTGTTAGTGGTAGTAGCTGGGGAGTTATCTATAGGCTATTTCCCACAGAGAAGCCAACCCACTGTGTAGGCTTTGGTACCCTTTAATTTTGGCTTTAGGGGAGGACAAGTTAGGTGCAACATATACATATGTACTAGAGAATAAAATTTACCTGTATTTTACCTCTGCAGTGCAGACAAATCCTAACCGTATCATAGTGCCACCAAAACAGCACCATGAAAGAATCTTTCCCAGCAAGGCAGGGAGGTTTTCTTCAGAAGTAGTGGAAAATGTCAGGATGAGTAATCCCTAGCTTTTCCCTCATTCTCACTAGAAAATATGCTGACAGGTGAAGTTAAGAGGCAGTCCTCTTCTCCACACTAGTGCTGTTGCTCTGTTGCTGCTGCTTTCCTTGTCCTCACCCAGATCTGCAAGCTGTCATATAGCTGGCCCTAGCAAGAAGTTTACTTGCAGGGAAATGTGCACATCTACATGCTCATAGCCTGTAAGTAAACCTGCAGCAAAATCAGCATGTACTTTGAGGGGGTGCCACCCATGAGCATATGCTGCATAAGGTTCACTGCTTGCTCTACCCACTGTCCAGAGGTGCAAGCAGCCAACTGAGCAACTGACATAGACCTGGAGGAGGCTACACTGAGAGGTAAGTCCTGAGTGCCAGCACTGTGGCTTTGCCTGTGAATGCCACTTCTGGGGAGCTGATAGCAAAGGAGGAATCACAGAATCATCTAGGTTGGAAGAGACCTCCAAGAGGAGTTTCACTAGTGGGCAACTCATCAAACCAGGTGTAAACATCCTGCCAAAATACAAAATAAAACTTTATGCATTCCTACTAGAGAAAGAGAGAAATATTCAGTGAGTTGTTTTGCTGCTTTAATACTTTTCTCAGTCTGCAACAAAGTGCACAATTGTCTGCAGAGTCTAACCACTTGTAGCCTAGTCTAGATACAAAGTTGATTTGCTCCCAAGCCTCCTCCTCCTTATTTCTGACCTTGTCCCTAAGGGCTGCTTCTGAAATCAGAATTTATATCCTATACCTCAGCACATCACATGCATAATTGCAAGCAACAGAACTGAAAATTATGCTAACTCTGCATTTATATCCAACACATGTCTGGATCATTTTCCACACAAGAAATAATTAATCTTCCAGGGAGCTTTTCCATCAGCCTAATGGCTGCTTTGAGAATTGAATTCCCCTTACCTCCTAGCAAGTCATTAGAGATTAGAGAGATGAGAGAATAACGTTGACAAGAATCTTGCCTTTCACTTCAGCTGCATTAAGTTAGGGCCATACTTGATCAGAATTTAGGCATAAAAATCTGAGCTTCACAGGAAATCTGAAGCTTTTGTGAGTTGAAGAACTTGAATGGTTTTGCTTGTGTTTTGAATCAACTTCTCTCATAATGAGTACAAAATGTTATTGTTATGATCATCTGCAGAAAATAATGCTAAATTAATTCCATACAACTTTATGAGTGAAATTATACAACATATTAATGAAATGCAAATATCCTTGTTCATTAGGCTCATCCATTTCAATTGTACCTACGGTAGATGTCTCAGCAGGGATGGTTAATCATACAGCAGCATACAGAAAAGAATATATTATATTAATTAAATAGCCACATTATGCAGCTGGGTACTTGAATTATACCCATGAAATTCAACATTGCTTACACTATTATTTTTTATTAAAGCACCGGAATCTCATGTTTACTGATTTTACAGGAATACAATATCATTTTGGTGAACATCACAAACAAATGAAGTATTTCAAATGACACAGTATTCTCCACAAGAAACATCTGCATAAAATCCACAACCATCAAAACTGTGATCATTCAAAGAGTTCACAGGCACATGGCTCAGTCCATGCAGACCTCATTGAAAGGCTGAAGCAAACAGGGAGATTAGAGAGCTGGGCAGAGTAGGAAGGATGGCCAGAACTGAGCCTTCAAATTCGAGAATAATTTATCCTCAAGACATTGCTTTCAAGGATCTTTGGCATTTTAAAGATTAAGCTAACAATATTGACCAAAAAAAAACAAAAAACAAAAAACTCATAATAAATACAGTGTGTGATGTGTTCACATTCATAGAAAAAGACACTGCTTACCGTTATGTAAGGAAACCCCTAAGGAGTGTCTAACTTTCTGCTTCCGTCATCATACTACACATATCCTTAAACACGCTGCAAAACCAAGTTCTCACTTGGATTTTGAACACTTAATATTAATGAAGGCTTAGTTCTAGAATCAGAGGTTAACATTCCTGAGTTTCCCTTAAAAATACTGGAACTAATGGCTGGACTGAATCAGAGAACCGTCTACTTCAACAGTCCTACTCAAGGTAAAATGTCAATTTTCCTTTACATATTAAATACAGCATTTCATGCTGTAAATTATGTTAGAAGGAGGAAGAATGAAACATGCAGGACAGGACAAATTCATATTTTACAACATGCTGTCAGGTGACTGAAATTGTAGGCTTCCTCCTGAAGCACCATGACGTAAGAAATGGTAACGACTAATATTCGAAGAAAACGCAACAGCTGCATTCATATACTATTAAGCAATTCAGGTTCCTTATAGATTTGTTGTAGTGCCTGAGATTTAAAGTGCAAAGGAATACTGTTAAATCTGTCAGAAAATTCTATTACGTATTTGCTTCAAGCCTGTGGTTGATAGCTATTTACAGGCATCATTTGGTAAACACCAGGAGGCTAAAGCTGATGGCATTCCACTTCTCAAAAGGAAACCATCCATTGCTCAAAAAAACATCACAACTGAGAGTCAGCTTGCAGACTGGGAATAAAGATCACAACTGAGAAAACATGATTTCCAGCTGCAATTTCTGCAATTCCTAGCCAAGGCATGAAATCACCAGTATTGCTTCTGCCTAATGTTTCCCCTTTCTGTAGTCAGTCCTCTATTCTCAGGAGCTGTATAATGGGAACTTTTGAAGAGGTCTGAAGTTTCACTCACAACGTTTGAGATGTTTGCATCATGCCTAAGTGTTTAAAACACCTAATTATACTAGGAGACTGATGGATGAACAAAATCAAACCCATTCTACCAATAAAAAAGTAAATGATTAGCCCCATAGCATAAGGTCTCAGGAGTGAAATAGGCATGTAGCCTACTCAGGCTAGCACCTGACAGGATGTTAGATTTTAGGTTCTTTATCTGGCCAGTGGATAGAAATATGCATCAACATAATTCATTGTTTATAAACACCTGACACATAGAGAGGAAGTTAGGGGGATTGTCTCTTCCACCCAGCTTATTCTGACATGGGATGATGCTGCAAGAAAATGTGATTCAGTTCCCTTATTTGCAGCATAGACTGGGACCTGTGCCTTCCACTTTGCAGAGAGTTTAACCAGTAATCTGTCACACTAAGTGCTGAAAACCAGATATTCCCCTCCTGCACCCGTGTTTCTGGATAAGATGACAATGCTTGTTATGCCTCACACTGACCTGGACTGGCCACGTACTTTCAGCATCTTCTGATTATGCTCGAGGGATCAGGCAGTAGGGGCTACAGACTGGGGTTTCCCTTTTTGCCCTACAAAATCTTACTGAATTCAGTCCACCGCTCTGGCCTGCAAGGAGTTTACTAGCATTCATGTTTCCCCAGTAGATGCAGAGATGTACAGCTCCTGCAAAGCCAGATAGGTAGCTACACACACCAAGTAGTACATATATAGTGCCACTGAGTCCAAAGGAACTGCCCACTTGTCTGTGGCTTTTAGAGACTTCTCAAACAGGCATCAAAATCAGATTGGGCATATTTTGTCCCACTTTTAGGTAAACAACAAGACCAATCTGTTGTATAGCACATGGGAAAACTTTTAAAATTATTTTGGAGCTGCATTTTTTGTTGCTTCCTTGCTTATCAAATTTAAATTCACATTTAAAATGGCCTCAGTTTTTCACCCTTAATAAACATCAAGATGTGCAGTGGTTGTAATGTGATTGTCATTGCATGAAAACTGCAGCCATGATAGTACCATCTGGTTTCTTCACTGATTTATAACTTGGATGTAAACTTCGCTCTAGTTTTAAAATGAATAGAAAACTTCTACTTCAAACCAAGTGTTTAAAACATACTTTTATATATACACATACCAAAACTAAACTGGGTTAATTTGCTGGGTTCCCTTTACAGAATAATTATGTTATTAAGAGTCTTTAATTTCTTGAGCGTTATGTCTAGTTTGACAATAATCCAAATGAATCAAGAGCTACTCAGTCAAAACTTGAGGTCTGGATTCACTTGAATAGGTTCACTGTGCTTCATAGTTCCATAACAGTTAAGAAGGAGATTAATTCAATAACTTTGCATGCTGGCTCAACACTTTGTTCCTGACAAGACACACTGAAATCCTATCATGGGTATGAAATTTCTTAGGTCATGACTGTGTGGCCTCGCTAATCTGACATTCGAATTCAATTCTGATTTTTAACAAAAGATCCACAGATCAAAAAGGGCAAAATTTTTTTGCACAGTAGTAAGCCAGACTACTTCTTCTACATTCCCTAAGTTTGTTTTGACATTTGTCTGTGAAAAGAACAAGTTACAGCTAGGACCACTGCAATCACCCACTGTGACTTCCTATGCAAAATAATTCATAGCACTTAGAGATGTTCTCATATTTGTACTTTCTAGGACCTGACACATTT